TTTTTGTTTTTTTTGTTTTTGTTTTTTTGAGACAGGGTTTCTCTGTGTACCTTTGGAGCCTGTCCTGGATCTCGCTTTGTAGACCAGGCTGGCCTCAAAGTCACAGAGATCTGCCTGCCTCTGCCTCCTGAGTGCTGGAATTAAAGGTGTGTGCCACCACCACCTGGTTTCTTGTAGATTTTTAAGCATGTTTTGCACATAGTGCAGTGGCATGCTAGCTGGATATCTTTGGGCATAACTTCTAATTGTTTGCATGGATGCTGTGGAATAATCCTCTTGTACACTGTACAGATTTGTCACTTGAATTGGTTTAATAAAATGCTGATTGGCCAGTAGCCAGGCAGGAAGTATGGGGGGGGCACCAAACTAAGGATGATGGGAAGGAGAAGGGCTGAGTCAGGAGGTGCCAGCCAGACACGGAGCAGGAGATGAATGTGCCATGCTGATAAATAAGGTACTGCGATGTGGCAGAGTGTAAATAAGGAATATGTGTTAACTTAAATATAAAAGCTAGTTAGTAACAAGCCTGAGCTATTGGCCAAGCATTTATAATTTATATTCGGCCTCTGAGTCAGTTATTTGGGACTGGGCAGTTGGGACAGAAAAACTCCGATTACACATGGATAGCGCACAACTGGTGTCTTCAAAAAGGCCAGCCAGAGAGGCCTGGCTTGGCTCCTGTAAAGCACTAGTAGCTGTACTCCCAAAGTGCTGGTCTGTCTTGAAGTCCCAGGCAATTTCTACACCAGCTGCTGACTGGGAGTCTGAGGCTCAGAGTTGAGTCGAGTGTCACAGTACCAGGCTTGGGATGATGAGGTTTCCTCACCCCTACAGGAGTGGCATGCTCTTACAAGCAGTCTTGTAAGTTGTTTGCTGGGTATTTTTCCACTGGTGGGTTTGGAGCAGTCCACTTTATAGGAACCATGGTATAGAAACCGTCCTTACCTCCATTGTATAAAAAGCTAGAGGCAGCATGTCGGCCTAGCAAGTCTGTTCTTGAATTACATTAAAACAGTGCCTCAAGAACTATTTTTAGTGTAAGTCATCCTGTCAATTGATTCTTGAATTCTTTCCTAAAATTTGTACGCTCTAGTTTAAATGCTTTCTTCATGTTTGCTATCTAACACTGATTAAAAACTAACGAGGTGAATTTGTATGATACATTTCAGTGACGTGAAGGCATATTTTAATGCTGAATCTGGAAAGCATCTTGGAGATATGTTGTGATAGTTTAATTGGCAGTATTGTGCCTGAGGTATTCATGGTTCTGACTGATGGTGTCCTGGCTTCCTTTTTGTTGAGCATTCTAGACTTAGACTTTGTCATTGCTTCCTGCCACAGAAAGATGGTGACGAGCAATTTGTCATCGACAAGAATGTGATTTTTATTCCTCAGACAATTGAGACATATCTAGAACTGCTAAATTTGGCCATAATTGGGTGTTCTTTTCTCTCTTGTTGAGCACTGTGACACACACTGCGGAGGAGACTGAGGCAGGGGGATGGCAAGTTTGAGACCTGCCTATACAATTTAGTGAAACTATCTCAAAACCAGTTTTTTTTCTATTGTTAATTTACAGTTTGTAGTATAGTTATACTGTTATCCAAGTGTCTTAAATCAATAGAGTATGTAGCATATAAAGATAAAACTAAGTTCACAGAAACTTCAGTCATAATACAAGGGAGTTGAAAATACTTTTACTATGGTATGTGACTTTTTCTTTTTCTCAGATTTTTTTAAAAAATTTATGTGCATGTGCCTATGTGTATGTTTGTGCATCATGTATGTACAGGTGCCTGAAGGGCCAGAACATGGTGCTGGATCCCATAGACGGGAGTTACAAGCTGCCTGATGTGGGTGCCGGGAACCTAACCTTCCTGCTCTTATCTGCTGAGCCATCTCTTGAGCTCCACGGGACATTTTAAAACATTCTACCTTCTACTTACGATTCTTTCCCCATCTGCTGACTTAAAAGTATATTATTTTTACTCGATAGATTCCTGCCCCATTTTAAACAGTAAACTGCAGTATCCAATCAGTACTCCTTTCCTTTTGGTGAATTGTAAGCGCCTGTGTTTTGATCTTCCCCAGACCTTCTGTTATTTGAGGATGCCCCACTGTAAGGGCCAGGGATTGCTACTTCTCTTATATCCAATAGTTACTTAAGTGGACCTGCTGGCTGTGATTTCTTTGCTCCTTGCCAAATTCTGCTCCTTCCTTTCAAGTTCTGTTTTTCTCAGTGTCATTTCCCTATGGGACATCTGCCTTTGGCTTCATGGTGTTTGGAATTCAAGTGTACCACCCTGCGCTAAAGGACATTATCATCTGTTCAAGTGCAGTGGCTAACGGGCCCTGGGCAACTGGACCAACCGCTGCACAAAGCCTCCCACTTAACAGCAGTCTAATGGAGGCTACAGCTGGAAAATAATTCCGAAAGAAATGGAAACACCTGGCTTCCATGCCTCACAGCTACAGGATGCGAGTGGACACTGCTGGAATAAGTAAGAGCTTAGCATAGGGCTGGAGAGATGGCTCAGAGGTTAAGAGCACTGACCGCTCTTCCAGAGGTCCTGAGTTCAATTCCTAGCACCCACATGGTGGCTCACAACCATCTGTAATGAGATTTGGCACCCTCTTCTGTATACATAATAAATAAATCTTTAAAAAAAACAAAAAAAAAAAAACAGAGAAAAAAGATTAGCATAAAAATTGGGCCAGATTCATCAAACCCTGTGATGCCAACAGATGGCACTGTCTGCGCTTCTTACTTGTCTCAGCCTGGGACTCTGCTGACATTATTTGATCCTTCTCTGCCATCTCTTTGCTAGTTTATCTAACAAGGCCTTTTCCCTTGAGTGTTGTGTGAGCCCCTCAGATTGTGTTGCGTTTGCTGTGATCTTTCAGCTAAGCGTCATCTCTGCTTCAGTTTCTACTGAGTTGCTAATTACATATACTATTTTTATAATGTAGTCTTTTAGATATACCCTTTAAAAGTCCACCTGTTTCTTTTTGTTTCTTGTATTATCCTCTACAATAATTTTAACCATATTTTACTATTATGGCCTTGTTTTTTTGAAGGCAGGCTCTCACTCAGTTCAGACCGGCCCTGCACTCATTATTTAGCCAAAGCTGACCTTGAGTTTCTGATCTCCTGCCTCTACCTCCTTGGTGCTAGGATTACAGGCATGCGATTGGCCTGGCTTTAGGCTGGCTGGGATGGGATCTAAGGCTTTGTGCTTACTGTGCGAGCATTCTACCAACCGAGCTGCATCTCTATGAGTCCAGTTTGGGGCTTCTGGGTATCCCCTCTTGTAATTGCGTATTTTCATCTATGTTTTGATCCAGAACCCCTCCTTCAAGGGAATGGGTGTCACTGATGAGGCTGACAGTCTCTGTTGTTTTAGGAGTAAAGGGTAGACTCCAGACAGAGTTACTTCCATCTGTTGGTGTCATGGAGCTTTGATGAATCTGGCCAAGGTTTTATGTAATCTTCTGGGTAGGGCTATCACTCCAGGGGGAATTTTGTCGACTGCTGCACGATAGCTGTGAGGCATTGGAGACGACGAGGTGTTCGGTTCCTTTGGAAATGTTTTTCTAACCACAGCCTCCATTAGACCGCCTTTGAACTGGAGGCTTTGTGCAGGGTGTTTGGTGTGGCTACCCGGGGCCTGTGAGCCACAGCACGTCTCTCTCCATCTGGGCCTCCAAGCCCCTGACCCTAGGACCCGTTGTCTTTGGTTCCCATGCATTACCCCTGATGGCTTTGTTTCTGGTTCGGGATGATTGTTACTGTTGTTGCCTGAGGTTAGGCCCCACGTGCTGGTACTTCTCCTTGACTTACCTCTCAGGGGTTGTCGCTCTTCCACTTAGGCACCCGTAGTCTTTGTAGGACAGGAAAACATAAGCTTTCCAGGTCAGTGTGTCTGTCATCTCTGACCTGGCTTTCCCTGACTCACCTCTCCGAATTTCTCCTTTATTCATATTGTCAGCATACTCCTCTAGCCCACAGTCTGTGCCTAGTTTGTGTGTCTCTTTGGTTAGTTCAGCTTCCCATCGTCCTTTAGTCTTCCACTGGGTCCTGTTCAGATGTCTTCCTCTTTGTTCTTACTCCATGGTGGGCTGTCGATGATTTCCCGGTCCTTGAGAGCAGATGTCATTTCTTGTATTTCCAGTGTCCTTTTAGTTTCTTAACAGCTTTATTATATTATAGTGATGATGATGATGTCGATGTCAAGGTGTGTGTGCGCTGCATGTGTGTGTGTATGTGTACTTGTGTGTTTGTATGACGGGGCTGAGTCTAGAGTGATCAGAGATCCTGTTTACTGTGTGTGCTCATGTGCCTCTTCCTCTTCACTGTCCCCACAGGGCTGTGGTGTTCGTGGTGGATAGTGCCACGTTCCAGCGGGAGGTGAAAGATGTGGCCGAGTTTCTGTATCAGGTCCTCATCGACAGCATGGGTCTGAAGAACACACCCTCCTTCTTAATAGCCTGCAATAAGCAAGGTGCTTCCTGGCGATGGCAGTGGGTTGGTGTGGGATTGCTGTTAGCTCATTTACCTGCAGTTGTTAATGTTGAGTGTGGGGGGCGGGGTGTTCAGAAACTAAGGGATAAATCTTAATCTATTTCTGTTACTTTCCCAGTCTTTTTACCAGGCTGTCCTAAGGGCTGGCAGCCATGGGGCTGTGTTGTTATACCTTTTATACAGTGTTTTTTATTTTAAAGATTAGAAATTATTTTGCTTCACTAAATGTTAGTTTGTGAGGCTGCATACTGTCTGTTCTGGAGAGATTGTTGGGGTCTCTCCTCCAAACATGCTTTACCACTGAGCAGTTCCACCAGAGGAAATTGCAGCCCCTTCTCTGGGTGCTCACACTCAGGTCAGCCAGGCTTCAATTCTGAGACCAGTTCAAGTAACGCAGGATAGGTAGTCTTTCAGAGCTCTTCCACGTCTTCTTAAGAGCCTGAAGCATTTTTCAGAAGTGATTTTTTTTTAATCCTAATACCTGCTGTGGGTGTTATTTAAAAAAAAATTTTTTATGTGTATGATTGTTTTGCCTGTATGTCTGAACAATGTGCATACCTAGTGCCTGAGGAAACTAGAAGAGGGCTTTGGATCTGCTGGGACTGGAGGAACAAACAGTTGTGAGCTGCTATGTGGGTCCTGGGAATCGAACCCTGGACCTCGGGAAGAGCAGTCAGTGCTCTTATCGCTGAGCCATCTCTCCAGCCCCAGCTCTCACCTCTTTCTCTATTTTGTGTAAGGAGGGCAGTCAGGACTGATTTGGCTTGGGCTTTGTGCCCTCCCGGGCTGGTTTCTAACCTAGTGTACTTCCTGCTCACCACAGCACCTTAGTATTAGCTGGCTGTGTGTGGGAGCTAAGGTAGTGTGTTCTCATCAACTGTCAGTCACAGTGCTGGTAAGCTTGCTTTCTTTAGATTGACTGGACAAGTGAAGTATTCAAAGGCTTGTATGGTGTGGAAAACTTAATTAGTTTCAAGGTCATTATATCACTAAAGCAATGTTTTATTGCATTTAATGCTTTAAAGCATTTTTCCAAAAAACCACAAATATAGCATTTACTTTGACAGAGAAAGAAATAGCAATAAAGCATGACTTAACAAAGGGATGGGAGATGAACTTCCTGGTATAAATAGGGATTTTCTGTCTGTGCTAGAAGTTCAGGGAAAAGACACATTCTGGTTTAAACTACAACAATGCTCTTATTTTTTCCCAGATATCGCAATGGCAAAATCAGCAAAGTTAATTCAGCAGCAGCTTGAAAAGGAACTGTAAGTGTGCATGTATTCCTGGTAAAATGTCCTGACACTTAAGCTTTCAAGGGTTGAAGTCTGTCACCTTTGGTTGTATATGGTTATCAAAATTATAATCAGGATTAGTATGGAATATGTGTGTTAAATAATTTATGAAAGAATTAATGGAATTATAAAAACTACTGAGATGTTTATAGCTATTTTAAAATTTCATGACTTACTGAAACCATTAGTTCATTTTGTTTTAATCACTGTTACTCTTTATAGTTGGAAGGTTTTAAAGACTTAAAACACCACATTTAGAATAATTTTATTTCAGTCAATGAAGGTATTTGTTCACACAGCAAGGCATGTAAAACAGTGTTCAAAGGTACAAATAATATGTACAAAATAGTAACATTAAATAAAAACTGAGGGTTGGGGAAAAAGGAGGTAAAAAAATGAAAAGCCATTGGAAGCTGGGTGTGGTCCTGCACAGCTGTAGTCCCAGCCTGCCTGGCCTGTATAGTGAAAGCCTGTCCCAGAAAATAAAATTTAAATTATAGCCATTGGAAATTATTGTTAACAGAACAAGAACACTTAGGAAGAATATAAAAATCTACATTACTGTTTTCTAGTTTCTTATGTTGATTTCAAGCTATTGGCAATATTATTCATCTTTTAGTGTTGAAAAACTTGTAAGTTGAGTGAGAAACAGTGAGCGTTATGGAATCTAGCAACCTTCTGTGCTGTGCTGATTTCTAAGAACTAAAAACCTTGTTCACAGAAGAAAAGACCAACACAGTAAAACCAGTTACATTTTCTTATTGTTTTTGTAAAAGGAACAGTTTTTTGGGGGGGTTTTTTTGAGACAGGGTCTTACTATGTAGCCCTTGCTATCTTAGAACTCGCTGTGTAGACCAGGCTGTCCTCAAACACAGAGATCAGCCTGCCTCTGCCTCCCTAGTGATGGGATTAAAGGCATGGGCCCAGCTTGCCATTTTAGTCGGATCTAGTATTTATAAAAATGAATCCCTGGGTTGGGGATTTAGCTCAGTGGTAGAACGCTTGCCTAGCAAGCACAAGGCCCTGAGTTCAGTCCTCAGCTAAAAAAAAAAAAAAAAAAAAAAAACTGAATCCCTGACAGAAAGTCAGTAAGCATGCAGCCTGTTTGCTCTCTAATAGGACCAGTAGCTCGCAGGAAAATGACTTAATTTGGGTCAGTTTTCCTCCTTACAAATGAACAGGATCGATGGGACTTTGAAGTTTGTGGATGTATGAACTTTCTATCCAAGAAGACTCACAGTAAAAAGCTCCCTATCTCCCTGTGCTGAAGTTCCCAAAACTTGAGTTTTTATAATACAGCATACATTTAAAACTGTATTTTCTATGCTGTTATTCAGGAGATCTTAGAAGTGGTCCCAGGCTTAAAGAGCTGGTGTGACCTGGGTCTCTTAACCCATTGGCTCTGGCTAACAGACAGGTTGGATCCATCTCACCTGTGTGTCTGAAACAGTGGTTCATGGATAAAAAGGATAAGTCAGCATGTTAGTAGTGACCTTCAGCCTATCAGTCTTCAATGGGAACTAACGGATTGCCTCCGACTTGTCCCTTGCTCCACAGCAACACCTTACGAGTCACCCGGTCTGCTGCTCCCAGCACACTGGACAGTTCCAGTCCTGCACCTGCTCAGCTGGGAAAGAAAGGCAAAGAATTTGAATTCTCCCAGTTGCCCCTCAAAGTGGAGTTCCTGGAGTGCAGTGCCAAGGGTGGACGAGGGGATGCCGGCACTGCTGACATCCAGGACTTGGAGAAGTGGCTGGCCAAGATTGCCTGAGGAGCAGCCCTGGCTGCAAACCTTCATCTGTGACTGACTGGCAGTTGGGAAGGGCTGTGCTGGGGTGGAGCCGATAAAGAGGGGCAGGGCATGTATGTGTCTGCAGCATCTCCGTGTTCTAGAACAGTTCTACCAGCTTGAGAGTACATGTCCCTCCCTTTCAGCTCCTTTCTCAGCTAGTCCTTATTTAATTCTCCTGTTCTCCCTTCGGAAGGTGTAGCACTGCTTTAGTGTGTGACACAGCACAGAGACCTTACCACGAGAATAGGTTGATCTGGAAAGTTCTTGTCCCCTGCCTCTCTGCTTCGGTCTCTCTTCCTGGAACCAGACCTGCCTGTGTGTGGAACCAGTTAATTTCCAGTTGCCCCTGGTATTCTGGCATAATTCATTGTCTGTTCTTAGTGACGTCTCAGGTGTAAAGGTAGTTACAATGAAGACAGGCTCAGAACCACAGGGCACAGTTGACAGTGTGTTCTTCATGGGCTCAGTGACTTATCTCCATTCCAGCTTGGGTTCAAAAGCCTGCTGGGAACCTCTAGAGTCGCCCTCACATGATGGATGTAAGAGCCACCTCCCCAGACACTCACGGCTTAGTGTGTTCTAGAGGAACTGGGGAGAGCCGGGAGACCGCACGCTGCAGCCTCGGGTGGTGAGCCCCCACCCCACCCCCCACCCCGGGCTGTCTGCCGGTGCTACTTGGTCAGCTCCTGTTGTGTCTGCCACCTCAGCTCAAAAGCCGTGGAACAACACAGAGAAGTCCACTGTGTAGATTTTTAAGTGTGTATTCATTCATGCTTTAAAAAAATTTGCCTTTTCAAAGTAATGCTGTCTTTAAAATTTGTGTTTTTATTGCTTTTACAAACAACTGGTATCTTGATAAATAACTGTCTATCTGAAAGCACTAAGCTGAACTAGGATTCAAGGTCAATTTTAGATTACCTGAGCCTACAGACTGCTGCGTATATACAGACAGACTCTTCATCTCCTCTTGAACTCGGAGACAGGCCTCACTAAAGAGACACCATGAGTGGAGGTGCAGTGCTCTGGGAGCATGCACAGAGCATCTGCGCTGGCCTTGGGGACCAGTGAGAGTCCCAGGATAAACACACGGGGAGCTCCCTGGGCAGCCCAGCCCAAGCCTCTGCCTGCCACCACATGGCCTCCTGTGGGTCACTTGGGCTGACAGCACACTCCGAGATCGCTGCTATTCCCAGCATAAGTACTCAGGGCTCCCCACCCTAAAACATTTCTTTCTGGTGTATGAGACAGACCACAAAATGGGTAGGTCAGGAGATGACCCTGTCAGTTCCCACCAGAAAGAAGTATTGCAGCTGGGATTCTTACTGCTCTTGGGCCACTGCTGTTCATATTAGTCAAGTGAGATGGAGCATGAACGATATTCACCTCATAATAGGTGCCCAGGAAAAAAAGATGTTTCAGTTAAAGAACATGTGTTCACTGACTCCTGCCTTTTTCTGGGGAACAGTGATTCTGTTTACTGGGAGAATCAGTACAGAAAGAGGTGATGAGGATGGAGAGCAGGGGTAAGTTTTACTCATAGCCCGGAGATGGTCTTAAGCAGAAGGTGAGCTGGGCAGGGCTGGAAACGAGGTTGGCGGAATGCTTGCCTAGTGCTGTACCGCTCAGTTATAAAGGGGCAGTTGGTTCGAGGACGGCCTGAAGGATTCCACTCTGGAATCTTCCATGAAGCACTGGCCAGACTTCATTCTGGCTCTCAAGCCATGGTGGTGGCTTCTCAGTACCAGCTGCCCCGGTTTCTGGAAGGGCCGCAGCTCGCTCTTAATGAACCATAGCTGGGGAGCCCCTGCCACTGCCTCCCGAGGCCTCCAGCACGTCCTGACATGCGGTGTTCCGGTGACATCATTTCACCCGGTTTGTAATGCTTTCTTTCATTTGTTAGGTTTTTCCTTAACCGTCAAAGCTCCTGCTGGTTCACTCCCAATCTCATCTAAAGCAGCATATAATGCTGTCTGTATTCCTGTCCCTCCCCCCTCATGCTATTCCCCGTGCCCGCTGTGCAGTCCTAGGTAAGTAAGTTAACCATTTCCCTTCCTGTAGCCTCCATCGGCACCCCACGGTCCCACCACATGGAGCACCTAGCCACGTCCCACCGACCTGATAAAAATACATATGTGTGTGTATATATATACACACGTATATATACATAAGCACACAAGAATATATGTATATATAATATACATGTTATATATACACATATATCCAAGAGTACAAGGTTTCCCTGATCTATATAAAATTCAGGCTTAGCCAACAGTGGCCACTCCTGCAGTGATGGGAAAGCCACCCTGCAAGCCCCGGCCTGGCCATACTGCACTTCAAGCAGAGCCGTCACCATGTCATCTTGTGTGCACACCTGGAGGACCTCCTCAGTCTTGTGGGGCCTGCAGAGCAGCTGTGCTAACATCTGACCTAGAGCAACCTCTCCGTCAGTGGTTCGAGGCCTGGTGGCTCTGGACACCGCTGCGTTGGGGAAGGACTGTTGCTGTTCTCGCTTTCATGGAGCATGTGGTCATTTTCTCAGGCTCTCAGCCCTCCACCCTTCGCCATCCCCTGCACCCGCCCACCTCCCACCTTATGACTAGATACTAATCTAAGGCAGTGGGCAGGGACTTTTCCTGTCCTCTCCCTGCTTAATCAGTAGTGGCCTTGAGGTGGCAAATTGGGGTGTTCCAGAACCTCTAGAACCTTTCCATAGGAAAGGTCACCGGTAAACTTAGACTTCAACATTCTCAGGAATTGTTCCCACCGCCAGACAGGAGCTCAGGACACCTACCAGGTTGGAGGTAGTGGAGACCCCTGAGGGGCCTCTCAGAGACTGTCCCTAACTGGTGTGGGGAGGGGCTAGGGGTGGTCATGTTGGGGCCATCTGAAAGGGGATCACGATTACCCTTGAGTTCTTGCCTTTAAATGGTAGTCTGGAAGTCATCAAGGGGATAAGAAAGAAACCTGGTCCCTGCACTCTCTCTTAACCCTAGCCCTGTCAATGTGGGGGTGACGGCAAATACAGTCCTGGTCCCTCCTGGAGTTTCCCTGGCCATCTGCTGTTAGAATCTGACAGACAAACAAGGCTGTGGATCCGATCTCACTAGCCCACACTTTTCTTTCAGAACCAGAGGAGCGTCCAGGGGAGCAGGGACAAGAGGCAAAAGGCCCTGTGCAGGGGACGCGCCACCCAGCCATGAGAGGGCCTTTGAGGAAATCCACTCTTAAGCCCCCTGTAATAGAACTGCACCACGTAGAAACAGTCGACAAGAAGCTTTGTGTTGAGAATTAGGACAGTTTATTGTTTGACCAACATGCTGAGTCTTTTCCACATATTACACAGTTGAATGTAAAGTCAATATGGCCGCTTTGCCTTCTGAGCCCATACAGATGGAAATGCCACCCTCTGTGTTCTTCACTTTAAAGAACAGGTGAGGCGAGAAGTCAACACACAATAGACAGGCTGGCCTTCATTGCTACGGGGGCTTCTTGCCTCCTGAAGGGACCATCTGAACTCCTGCTGCAAGGTTTTCCTGATAATCATACCCTGCAGGGTGTCAATCAGACAGGGACTGGAGTCCTAGGAGTATGCACACCGAAACTGCAAGATTTTGGAATACCGAAGAAGTTGATTTCAAACAAAAATTAAAAGGGTGCCCTGACTACTGCTATGTGTGTGTGTGTGTGTGTGTGTGTGTGTGTGTGTGTGTGTGTGTGTGTGTGTGTGTACAAGACAATGCAAGTAGATCTGAGGACCACCCTTTACAGTAAAGGAGCCCAAAATGCACCTATATTCTCTCTAGCTACTGAGGCTGGGAATAACCTTACGTTCTAGCCATGGAGTAGAGATGGCTTACAGGACACGGGCACAGGATGCCATCCTGTCTGCACACCCAGGTCAGCAACAGATGAAGACTGCCAACACTGGTTCTGATCATTCCTGGCTCCCAGGTGACCTTGTCTGTTCGGGTTCCCCCACCTGTGAAACAGGAAGGGCTTGGCTCCCAGTGCTGTGGCAAGGTGACAGTGCCTCCTATTCTGGGGGGAGAGGTAGTTTGGAAACCAGCGAGCATTGAGCCCAAGCACTTGACACACACAGACATACTCCCGCTAGCTGGTTCTTGTCGCTCTGATTCACCGTCTTCAGCTACCCTGTCTTCCTGCCAGCCTCTCCCCCTTCCATATGGAGAAGGAATAAACTCTACCTGCAGGATGCTGAAGCCAGCAGTGCTGTCCCCACACTGTCACACTGGGTATTGAAGGACAGGCACCGGGGAGATCTCTGACACTGGTTAGCCACTGGGTAACGGGGGACTGCGCCCAGCTGTCTACACTCCTAGATATCACCTTGAACCCTTATCTCTGTTGCCTGATGTGGCCATGGCTTCTCCGCCCATCTTGGGATATTGCAGAATGTTTAAGGATGGCGTCAGGAAGGGAGCAGTGACCGTGACAGCCGTGAGGCTCTAACCACCAAGCTTTCTAGCTTCTGACCTCACAGCAATACTAGCACTCAGGACACTCAGGTCACACCATTTTGGTGTGCATGTGTGTATAGCTGCCTTTTCTATCTTAAGACTATTTCTGCAATGCTCACAGAAGTTTTGCTGACAACTCTCCTTCAAGACTCCTAAAGAAAAGGAAGAGGGCCACGCCCATCTGCCAGGCCAGGCCCAAATGTCCAGGGAGAGGAACTGAATTACTAAGTTGTGATCATGTCCTAAGAAGAATGCTCCACTTTGTCTTCTGTCTGTCCTGGATTCAGCAAAGACGGGGACACTGAGATAATTTCAGAACCTGACCAGATCCCACCTACAAGCAGGAGGATGGGGGTGGGGGTGGTGAAGAGAAAGCCCTAGGAGCGACAGTCCTGTGCAGGGCCTGGCTGCCTTAATGGCCTTTAGGGAGGAGCTGGGGAGAGGAAAAGGCCAGGGCACTACTGGGGTAGGAAAACAATGAGGCAGGACCCTCACTCTCAGAGACCACGAGGTCGCGAGATCTTAAACTTCAGAGGGGGCTTTGTGTACAAGCTGGGAAGGCAGGGCTCCTTAGGCCAGATCCACCAGGATGGCGTCCACCATGGTTCCCGCTGTTTCTAACAGCGTGCCATGATGCCTTAGATTGTGTGCACAAGAGAAGGGAACTGGCTTGCTACTTAGAGTTACAGGAATACAAGAAAGGTTATTCTTCAGTGCCAAGATTAAATTCCACCCTGCATTCATTCCTTGAGACACAGTACAGAGCCCTGTCAGTGGGGCTCTGCTGGAGGCTGCCAGCGAAGGCCCTCACTGCCAACCAGACTGCTGCCGTCACAGGGCAAGTGTGCCTTCTTCAAGCAAGCACCACTTAGGTGGGGTGCCCACGCTGGGGGGGACACTGGCCCACAAAGGCATGCACACCTGTGCACACAGGTACATAAAGCAGTGGTGAAGGTAGTTCTGTGGACTAGTTCCGATTGCAGTTGAACACATCTATGCACTATTTTATTGAAGGCAAGACAACCACAAGTTATTTGACAATATTGAGTATTTCTTACTTCAATACACTGCATACTTTTGAACTTCCAAAACTGGAATCACAATGCAAGTTCCAACTTGAGAGCGGGAGCGACAAGAATATACATTGAGCACATGTATATGTGAGGATGTGTGTGTGTGTGTGTGGGTGTATACACAAGTCTATCTCTATGTATAATTATGTACACACATATAAAAGCTGAACACGTGACGTTTCAATTACGCTCGTACATTGGTCCTTGCCTTCTGGAGAGGGACCCAGGAGGATCCTGCTTTCTCTCTTCTT